AAAGGTGGTATTTTTGAATACCCATCTGTCTAACAGCAAGGAACCTAGTGCATCGCAGTTTAGTTTCTTCATTTTTGAACCTTATTTTCACAATCAGAACAACCTATCTGGAATAATAATGCCATATTGTGTTTTGCGTGCTGCTTTGTTTCCTAGAGGCTGTGGGAACTACTGCATTCATCACTTGATTACCTCCGCTCTCAAGATTAAACAGTCTTTTCAGCAACATCCTCTATCAGAACAATAAAACCAGTTCACACTGATGTGTCCCTAAGGGAGTGTTCAAAAATTGCTTCCTCTTTTGGAAAGAAGATAGAGACTGCCTGTGGATTTCAGGCCTCAGAGGTACCTGGCACCTTATCCAAGCCAAAACAAAACAGCTCTTTGTCACAAGCATGTGCCTCTGGTAAATCATCCGTCACTTTTATTTTTAAATGGTCCCTCAAAGAAGAGTGTGGCGTGTACATGTTTGGTTGTGGGGCAGATGTGCACAACTGATGATTTCAAAGCTGCTCTTGACTGCGCCCTGGACGAGACCCGAGCCTGTACAGCTGGGCCTCTGGAAGTCATTCTGTGAGTAGCCTTGCCCTTTGGAACTGTTGTCAGAGAACTTGACGGAGATTTAATCAGCGAGGAAAGGCCCTGGTGATGGAGCAGATTGAGCAGTGAGAGCTGTGTTTGGGGGGATTACCTTGTAAAGCAATGTCAGGTGGAGAGTGCGGTGGTTATGAAGTCGTACACTTTTTATGATACAAAATACCTGTGGAAAACCAGGGATCTACTTCTCTCTCTTCCTTTCTCTTTTTCTCTAAGATTCAGGGGGTATGGAATAACCTGCAGCCTCTACTTCAACTCAGAGTACCCTTGGAAATTGGTTTATCTTCAGTGTTTTGTTGTCTTCGGTTTTCTAGAATGACCTGAATTTTAGTTGATTCCTCTACACAGTCGTGGAGGCTTAATGGTTTATGGAACTGTATTTCTCTTTTTTCTGTTGCTTGGGTGCGTCTTGCAGTACCTCATTTTCTGGTCACGAGTTCTTAACATAGTTTGCTAGCTGATTAAGATTCTTTTGTGTCACTTGGGGTGAGTTGTTTTTGAGATAATGTGAGATTTCTGTGTGAGAACTGATAATCCTGCTCTTGATCTGCTTCCCTACATTTTTTTTTTTTTCCCCCCCAGAGCCCAAGCCCCAGTCAGGGTGAGGGCTTCTAATACAAAGAAAAACTTTCATCACTTCTGCCCTTAACACTTGCCTCTTTTACCTAAACTTATTATGTAGCTTTCTTAATATTGTCCAGTGTTGGGTGTTATCTGCATTGTTTTTGTTGTTTAATCGTGCTTGTTCTGTTGTGTGAAATTTAAGGAAAGAGCCATTAAAAAATGCCGCGCCGGGCAATGCAAGTACAGCCAAATATTAGGGTTGATGTTCAGTCTTTGGTTCTTTTAAACCTGGGGTGTTATAGGCAGTACTTTCAACTGAAAACTGTAAAGTCTTCCTGGCCTGTTTTCCTCCACACATTTGTAATTACTCTGGGGGCTCACTTGTTTTGGCAGTAAGGGGCCCCTTCTTTTCTCCCACTTCTTTTCATACTAAAGAAAGCACCTACAATTAGCCTGTTAGTCCTGTTCATCTACATCAAAAAGCAGTGAGTTATTTACTATTAGCACATTTAAAAACCTTTGTCTTATATAAAGTTAGATGACTATGAAAACCAAGGACCTTCCATTCTGTATCTTGAGCTTGTACAGTGCCAATAATTTAAAGCTAGAACCTTCCCCTCCCTAAATCAAGGAGAGAGAGAATATATTAATGCAACGGCCACTTAAAGGTAGACTTTGTTTTCAATATTTGGGTTGTAGTAGAAAGATTCATCCTATGGGGAAAAAAAACTAGCATTATAAATTTTTCCAAACATTGGGGAATTCACTGCACTGTGACCCCTAAGGGTTTGTGGCACTTTTCCTGCTTTTTAGGCCTGGGTAACGCTGTCACCATCCCTAATTTACAAATGGGCAAACAGGCTCCACTTCGGGCAGCTTTTCAGGTTCCAGGGTTAGTTGTACAGCGTGATCCACTTAGGAGTATTTTGCTGTCTGTGGGAATTTGGCTGGGTTTACTAGGGAAAAGCTGTTTAGTTGTGCTAATGTAAAAACATCCTACAATTAGCTCTTTAGGACTTTCGAAGCTGGTAAACTTAAGGAATTTCATGTTGTTCTGAAATGCAGACTTGTAGAATGTTTTTCTTTGAAAACTGGCTGAATTTTTTTTTTTTTTCCTTTTCGTGACAGTCCCAGGTTCAGCTCCTGTTTCAATGTGTCAGTTATTTTTTTGGTTTAAAGTTCCTTTATATTTTTCCACCTGCAGTGCCAGTGGCAACATCATAATTCACTTGTTAATTTTCTTTATACTTATAAGAGCAAATTGAGTTTAACTGAATCTTCCTTGTCCTACTAGTACACATTGTATAAATAAAGTGGCTTCTCTGTACAAAAGGTTGTAATGCCTCCTGATGGATATAATTTTGTGACTGTATTTAAGATTAAAAGTTGAATAAATCACACCAGCTTCCTGAAAATGTTCATAATGCATCTTTTGGAAAACAAAAATACATGCCTATTTTATGCATATTTGCATCGACATGGCAAAGATTGTACGAAATATCTGTTTTTCAAGAAATAAACTCTTAAAAGACATAGCATTTAAGCTCTGAATTTATTGGTTTCCAGAAAACTTAATTTTGGAATATGGGTAGCTTTTTTTAAAAAAATGTATTTATGCCACCAAAACTTTTACTTCTCAAAAAGGTAATTTTTTCTACCCTCAAAGTTCTATAAAGTATTTTTGAAAAGCAGTAGAAATTTTACTTGAATGGGGAAGTTCTTGGTATTAAGGCACATTAAGCTTAGTTTTGTGAATATTTAAAAACAAACCTCGAGAAAATTATTGACGAGTACATTCCCTGGGCTGTGAAAGCTCTCAAGGGAAATTAAAAGGTCCAGCTTGCTGTAATATCTGGAAATCCGACTGCATTTGTTGCTGCTAGATTGTGTTAGATTTATGTTAACCGTTTAAGTCTGTTTAGTCATCTGGCACATTTCAAAAGATCACATCCTGTTTTTGTAGTACCAAAACAAAGCTTAAAAGGAAGCTAAGGGTAAGTGTTTTTTAAATCAGGCCAAGTGGAAATTTAAAGACCTGATAGCAGTGCGCCTGGGCTGTGAAGTTGCAGAGTTCTGGGAACACATTCCTTGAGTCACAAAAATACTCCACGAAGAAATGGCTGCTGGAGTTGCTTTAATTTTTCCCACCTACCTCAGTTTCACAAGCTGGTGCTGAAAAGTTGTCCTTCTTAAGTTGTCCGTGGGGAACTTGGGTGAAAACCAGAAGTATTCTGTAGCTAAAGCTGATTTCCCAAAGTAGAAATGTCATTTTTGTTGTGTGTGTGTTTGTTCTTTTTAGAAATGTCACTTTTTGAAGCCTAATAACTGTGGCCTCTCTTTGGAAGTGGGTGTTACTGTGCCTATAGCACAATTTTGCCCTCAGTGCTCGACATAGTCACTAATGATGTCGCTGCTGTTTGGGGACCTTTCATTTTCTTTTGAAGAGAGGGGAAGAAGGCCTGGCCCTCAAACGTCATAGCTTAAAAATCTCCCAAAATGAGAGATCAACTTGCTGCATCTTACCTCCCTCACCCATTTCCCGCCCCCCAGCACCCCCAAAGTATTACTTTATTGAAGAGCCCCCTTCCCTTGCTAAGGCAAAGACCCCACCCTTTCTTGAAATTCACATTGCTTCTGCCCCCCTGGCTTTCTCCAGAGTGGAATGTGGTCTGTAGCTGTGTCCACTCACATTTCTTTATGCCTTCTGTGAACTCGTAAGAACCTGGGGTTAAGGAACGCTTTTAAATTAAAACGAATTTAAATTTGATCGTGTATTATAGATGGCTATAAAAGGTTAAAAAGCTGGAAGTTACAAAGCTATGATAAGTTTTCCTAAAACAGACATCCGACCCTGTCAACATTGGGCATGCCTTTGTTTGAATAATGAAAATCAAAGCACTTGTTCATTTTGAAATTCTGGAGAGAAAAGGCGTAGAAGTGCCTCAACACAGCTCAGTTCCTCTAGTTCCTCAGCTGTTTATGAATTCCACTGCTTATGAGAAGAGTTTACATCATAGCACGACCTCCAATGTAAGAAAAGGTCTGTCAAAACCAGTCCTTTTGGAGAGGAAGCTGTTAGCGTCCTAAGTAACTCGAGTGCTTCACAAAGAATTTCCCAAAAGACCCCATGTAAATAAGCCAGCATTAAAGCTGGTGTATTTTTCACGAGTTCTCCAAGTATGCCCCTGGTCACCCCTAGTTCCCCCCCAATCAAGCTAAAGCCTTTTTCCCCTAATAGGAAGGAAAAGCAGAAAATCGACACGAATAGCTCTTTCCATTTGTCCTCAAAACCTCAGGAAGTGGGCACGAGTCTCCGAGTCACAAATCTCGGCTAAACTGGTCAGTGGCGTTGCTGGGGTGGCTAGAGTTGGAATTTAAAATAAAGGTAGCTGGACAGCGAGGGTGAGGGCCAGCCTGGAAAGAAAGGATCCCAGCCGGCCCCTTTCATCACAGCGAAGGTGAGCAAATTATGCCCATGTGTGCTGTCCGCCTGACACTGGGTAGCATATTTCTTCGAGAACTAAATTTCAGTAGAAGGTCCGAGACATACCGTGGCGGCCAACCCTGGGGATAGTGAGGCCCAGGGCAGCCCTGGGCAGCAGCCGTTCAACAGCTTCCGAAAAGCCTGGGCGAGGCATCGCATATCTCCTGGGCGCTGATTGGTCGTTCTGTGTCCCCGCCCACTCGTCCCTGCGCAGCCTCGCTTTCCTTTGACCGCGATTTCAAGCCATGCTCTGGGCAGCAGTTGGTCCGGCCCCCTTAAGCTTGAGCTCGAGCTGCCCAATGAGGAGCGAGCTTCGCGGGGCCTGTCGGGAAAGGCGGCCGGCCTATATAAGCGGCTTGTGGGCCTGCCCTCGCGCTGGGGTCGCGGTGCGGATCTCAGAAGGGTCGGTTTGGAGGGCGGGTTGTGCTCGCTGAGGCGTTACCTCGAGGACAATGGCGGAGGGAGATAATCGCAGCACCAACCACCTGGTGAGTCCCGGCGCCGCGACGCAAGGGAAAGCAGTGAGGCCTTCGTACTTTGTTCGGCTCGGCGCTGCGGCGCTGCGGCCCTGGCCCTCTCCCGGTTTACAGGCGCAGGCAGCGACGCCTGCCTCTCGGGCTTCTTGGGTAGCTTCTGCGTGGCGGTCCCTAGTCGTATCGTCTCTTAACATCCTCTGGAAAAGGTCCGCGAGGGAGCGAGGAGGGTGCGTGATCAGTCACCGCGAATAAAGGTTGAGGAGGAAGTGGGGAAAGGGGGGCTGTGACAAGCCTGGGATGCAGCCTGGGGCCTGTCGAGCGCTTTCGGAGCCTCTTTGCTCTTCACCAGAATGCCCTTTCGTTCTTTTCCCCCATACTTGGACATGGGTGGAGGGTCAAAGGGCTGCTGCCGAGAATGTCTGTTGGAGCTGGCTCAGCTTAAAAGGGCAGGAAGGCTGCGAACTCACCGTAGGGAACTGGGAGTAGGGTCCAGCTGGAAGGATACTGGGAGGTCCAGGCGTTTGTCCGGAATTTGTAAGTCTGGGGGGGTGGGGGTGGGAGGGAGGTCACAGGACGGCTTGAGAATAAGCAGGGGAACGAAGGAGCTGGAGTGAGGTTGGTTGTATCCCAGACGGACACATTTGACCTCGCCACGAATTTCATGGGACGATGCAGGCAAAAAAACGAGAGAAATCCGTGCATTTTCTCCGATACCACAACCACAGCGAACAGAGGGAGCCAAGAATTTAAGTTTCGGCTTTTGATTTTCCGAGAGCCGAGGTGCTAACGAATTAAGAGATTCTGCAGGACCGTTGGTGTGATTTTTGTTTTGCATTCATTTTTAGCAATGCATAACTTACCTGCGCCCCCCCCCCCCCCCCCCCCCCCCCCCCCACCCCTCAATAGTTAGCCCCAGCCAGGTTCCTTTTAAGTGGTGGTTCAAAGCACAGAGAAGTTACCGGAGTTCACACAGCTGTTGAAATGACAGATAGTGGCCTGGAGCTGAAATACTCTGTCCAGTAGAACAGTGTGACAGGAGAACAAGACCGTTGGCCTTGGATTTCCTGGATTCAGATCTGTTAGCCTCTATGTATTGATTACCGTTTCCTCATCTGTAAAACGAGGACAGTAACACCTTCCTTCTAGCTTGTTGGGAGGATTAATTAAAGTGGAAGCATATAATATACTTAGCCGAGTTTCTTTCACATAGTAATCTCTTATTGATTAAGCATGATATATATAGTCAAATATTGAGGTCACCCTAGGTGATCAATGTGGCACAGATAGCATCTTTATTAAATTAAGGTGCACTGTCCATGTCATTTGCACGTTTCCCTGTGATAACATTTTTAAGGACACATGGGTTTCTTGTTCCAATGTTTTTTCATCTACCAAAATCAGCTAAAGGGTTTTCTGCCACATTAGCTCATCCTACAAGCCCAATTCAGCTGATGCTCAGATTTGCAGAGAAATTTGAAGTCTAACCAAAATGTCCTGATAAATGTAAGAAGCGTAGAGGAGATATATTGAGCTTAAAATGCGTCATATAGTTTGGCAAAAGTAGTTTTCCTTAGTTGTGCAAATGATGTCAACATCTAAATGATTCCATTACACAAAGAGCTATTTTAGAAGTGGAGTGCTGTTCAGGGAGAGGCTTTCCAAATGGACTTAAGGGTTTAAATCAATAGAATGACAAAACAACCGATCAAGTCTAACCACCTGAAATGAGCGAACATGAAGTGATCTAAATTTATACTCTGGGTACTGTGCTTGGTATTATTAGTAGGGCAGGACTTTGGGGGAGTTAGTTAACCTTTCTTTAGTTGTGAAATGGGTGTAATTATTCCCACCTTGAGGGGCTCAATGAGGGTTATGTTACATCAAATGTGAAAAAGGTAGCCCAGTTCTTAGACATGGGAGGTGACCATTAAATGATGGTTTTTTTCCTCCATTGATTTTTGTCATTGGTACCAACATTGTAGAGTATTTTAGGAACTAACTTAAGATAGTGATTTGGGGTGACCATTTAGCTCAGTTGGTTAGAGCGTGGTGCTGATAACACCAAGGTTGCTGAGTTCGATCCCCGCATGGGCCACTGTGAGCTGCGCCCCCCCCTTGAGAGTCAACTATGCCATTGTAGCAGGAAAGCAATGTGTAACCAATGACCATGGCTGTTCCCCAATAAAATTAAAAAAAAAATAGTGATTTGGTTAACAGCTATTTGACATACTTGGGTGCCCTAGAAGAATTTAACTTTAGGAACCACAGAAATGTTGAGAGTAGTCACATGTTGGCTTTACATGTTGATCATATATAGGCCGCAGAGACTGCAAATCTGGAAGAGCAGCTGCAAGGATGGGGAGAAGTCATGCTGGTGGCCGATAAAGTCCTCCGATGGGAAAGAGCCTGGTTTCCACCTGCCATCATGGGCGTGGTTTCTTTGGTGTTTTTGTAAGTGAGCTATTCCGTTCCTTCAGGTTGCATTTGTTATGAATACGGGCTCAATTATGGAAGTGCCTTGAGTCTTTTGTACTGTGTAATCTGTAAAGAATGCCTTTTCTTAGAGCGATTTGCCTGGTTTTCAGAATTTGTGGTACTTACATAAACTTGGTAACCTAAGTTAATTGAATAACTCAGTGACTACAGACCATTTGGCTTGAGAACCCTTTACACTCCCAAAAGTATTGAGGACCCCAAAGAGCTTTTGTCTCTTGGTATTTTCATTGCAGCTATGATGTTAGGAAGCTTCCAGAAAACCACTTGTGGGTCGGCTTTAGCTCAGGCGGTTACTTAGTCATTCAGAAAACCACTTGTGAGAAAAGTAGAATGAAAAAGTCAAATAACATCTTTGAGAAACAGAGGACAAAGTGAATAAACAACTTCACTTGGGAATAATGGCGGTGTTTTTCTAACCTTTATTAAATTTTTTTTTTTTTTAACAGGACTATCTACTATCTCGATCCGTCTGTTCTGTCCGGTGTTTCCAGTTTTGTTATGTTTCTGTGCTTGGCTGACTACCTTGTTCCCATTCTAGCGCCTAGAATTTTTGGCTCCAATAAATGGTAGGTGGCATGACGATGTGGCATTCTCATTTGGAGACATTAAATTAACCCTGGTGGCTGTGATTAGTATGCTGTAATTAAGCACAGAGACGTGTCTACAATTAGATACCTAGGGGGTAGATTTATTGCTTTTATGTGACAGGTTTCTTAGCTGATTCATATATAAATCATGAATTTCCAGTACTTAAATCTCCATAGTTCTTTTATGGTCTAGCATTTATTTTCACTTTTCTTTCTAGACCTTCATATTGAAGTGAGGGTTTTTTATTTTGGGTAATATTTTATCAAGGATTGTAGAACTCATGAGCTTTCCATAAAAGTAGTACATTTATGTTTTACATTTATTTCCATTGATATTTATAAGATAGTATAATATTCATTTAACAAGTTTGAATGAATAGGAAAACAGTAGCTGGTAGATTTTTGTGCATTTAGCATTGACCGCATTGACCGTCTCCCTTTCTGTTAGGTACTATTCTGGGTGCTGTGAAGTATTTTGACTTTTGAGATCTTGTGTTTACAGTTGAGACGTTGAGCGGTGCAGTGGTAGGTAGCCAAATGCATAGCAGGTGCTTGAGAATAGGTTCAAGTTGTATATACAAGTAGGTTGTTGATTTCATTTATACCATTCTTGGAGATTATACCATACTTCTGAGTTCCCAAGATATAGGTAAGTGGCTATGAATCATATTAAAGTATTTTAACTTCTCTCTGGAATATTGCGTTGCTCACTTTTGATCCAAAGAATGAACCAAACTAGATTTTGTTGAAATAGATTTTTTTGTCCTAGCTGCTATGCTCCCTTGGTTGTTTAATTTGATTAGTAGTCTCCTGTGCCTTTAGCTTTTTGTTCCCCTGATAATAGCAAAATATAAAATACTTCTATAAAAGGAAGAATTTTAAATGTATGCCTTCTGGATCTTTGAGAATAAATTCAGACATTTTGGGATAATTAAGCCTGTTTATTTAAAGAGGTTCCCTCTCCCACCTCCGTAGCAGAATGGATGAGTATTAGGAAATGTCCTTTGAATTGCTTTTCCTGTGCAGTAATAAATTGCACAGCTGTTTTGGTGGCAAGTTTGTAACCATACAGTGTCACAGTGTAACAAAGAGAATCAGCTTCTGACCTTGACTTTTTATCAGTCAGATGGCATTCTAATCTGCTAATGAATCATTCCTGGAGGAAAGTTTTCAGAAATAAACCCTGAGTTTCATGGTAGTCAGGACTGGCTTAGTCACGTAGACAGAGCAGTTGTGTTGTTTGATGTTTATGGGGAAGGAAGAACGCTGTAGCACAGCCACATCTAGCCTTGACCCCCGGGAACATATCAGGGCTCAGCAGAAACCCTCCTCTGTATCTGTCACTGCAGTTGCACAGCAAGAAGGATGCGAGGAGAGGAGCCAGCACATCCTCCTCCAGCTTAGAGCCATAACTGCGGAGCTGTCAGTAGAGCAGACAGTACAGAGGCAATTTTTTACATCAGAACCCCAAAAACATTATAAATAAAAAGGGCTTTCTTGGAGGATCTTTTGTATTTTTACCGCTGTTTTGTTTATGGTGTTTTCCCTCAGTGAAACTAAACTTAAAAAGAATTTGGATTTGATCTGTGTGTTGCTGCCTTGGCATCAAATGTATGAAGCCCAGTTGAGGGTATTATGCTTTGAGTGCCAGTAGTTAATATCTTGCTGAAGAGTGCTCAAATATATCTGTTTAGAAATTTCACATCAACCCAGGATTGACTAGAATCTGAAAACTATGGGAATAGAGAAATTAATTTCTACTGATTTCTGTATGGCCCACAGTAGTCATGAGTCTTCTATCAGTGTCATTAGCCAAATGTGAATGTAGAACCATAGATTACCATTCCTTTGTACACACATGTGTGTGTCCATATAAAAACTTATTCCTATGCTCTAACAGGTGTCTTAATAAAACAAGAACTTTTCACCTTTATATGGTGAATTGTTTTTCATTTAGACTTTTTTTTAAAGATTTTTATTGGTGAATTGGGGGAAGGGAACAGACAAGATACTGTCCTTTTTGTTCTTCAGTCTAGTTGCGGAGGATGTTGCTTCACTGGCCCATATTGGTATTATCACTGCACTCTTCCGGGGTGAGGCAGTTGCTCGCCCACCATTGGATGATGGCTCATGGCAGCTCTTGAAAGTGCACGCCAGCTGCTGGCCAGCCCCACTGCAGCCTACTCTGTCACCGGCGACTCATGGCAGCCCAGCTCCAGGTCGAGCTGTTGTTCACCATCTTAGCTGTAGAGGGCGCAGCATCACTGACCCTCATGTGGGATCTGAACCGGGGCCCTGCTGCTCAGAGCTGGCGTCCCAAGCCAACTCCTAACCAACATGCCACTTGTCTGGCCCTATTTAGACTTTCTTTAGAAGATAGCTTTTAAATTTGAGAGGATGGTATATTTCTGTTTACTGTAGAGATTTGCTTATGTTGAAGGGGAAAATTCTTTTTCTAGGACCACTGAGCAGCAGCAAAGATTCCATGAAATTTGCAGCAATCTAGTAAAAACTCGCCGCAGAGCTGTGGGCTGGTGGAAACGCCTCTTCACACTGAAGGAAGAAAAGCCGAAAATGGTACTTTTTTTGTTGTGACCTATTCAAGGAAAGCAGAATTTTGAGATTAAGTCAGTTTTTACTTCATTGTATAATGATAGCCTGTTTGAACATAGTTTGCTATTTATCATCCATTGGTTTAATTCCTCTAAGTACATTTATAAATGTTTATCTGTATTAGACTGACTGAATCACCGGAAGTTAAATTATATTTAATTTTGTATTCTAGTAGAGTGAAATTTGTTTTCTTAACTGAAATAAAAGTAAAAGACATATAATAGAAACCATTTTTCTTTTCTCAGCTGCACATGAAATTTCTGTGAAGTTATTATTACAGTATAATTCATATTATTAGCTATTTAGCTTAAATAGAGAATACAGTATTCTAGGAGGGAATGTATCTAAATTCTATAAAATAGATCGAATAGAGTTTTCTATGGGTCTTATGTAATATATAGATACTAAGTAGTTTTAAAGAAAAGCGGTAATAAAAAACGGAATTATTTTCCTCCTAAAGTAACGCTTCTCAGTCTGCTTCTGGGAGTTGATCGATTCTTGTTTTCCCCACTTAGTACTTCATGACCATGATCTTTGCTCTTGCTGCTGTTGCTTGGGTGGGACAGCAAGTCCACAACCTCCTCCTCACCTACCTGATTGGTAAGTCTTTAGGAATGACCGCAGGCATGCCGTGGCCAGTGGGGTCCGACTGAAACTTACTGAACAGTATGTGCGTGCTGATCACCTGGAAGGCACTGGTCAGAGACCTGTGGGAGTCTAGAAAGACAACGGAAACCCGCGTCCTTATTCACAGGGGGTTTGTGGTCTTCCAAGGAAGTTAGACAACAAACAGAATAACCAAGGTAGAAAGAAATGTGCACGAGTTAGAGTAGGCAGTCGTGTCCTCCGAGGCTGGGAGGTCATGATGGCTGAAGTTTCTGGGGACGTGGATTCCATACAGCTTCCCCCTACTAGAGTGCCTAACAGTCTGGGAAACCACCATCTTTAAGATGTAATAACATTTAAGAAGTGAACTGCTGCCTCCTTCATTTTGTTTGTTTGTTTGTTTTTAAGTGACTTGCTTACTGTTGCTTCCTGGACTAAACCAACATGGAATCATTTCGAAGTACATTGGAATGGCCAAAAGGGAGATAAACAAGCTTCTCAAACAAAAAGAAAAGAAAACTGAATAAGACATCTGTTTTATTCCCTGTGATTTAAGTATGCCTTGCCCTTGGGAACCGTTTCTGTTAGGCTTTCTGGATACTCAGATGTTACAGAAGTTAGTTAGTAACTCTTTGCCCCCCCTCCTGCCGCCCTTAGTTACTAGAAATTCAGACTTGCCAGGTAAGGCTTTATGTGTAGTGTGTCTTCTTGTCAAGTGTAGCTGGCTGTAGTCTCATCAGTTGGCCTGATAGCGACAACTCATTTGTGAATATGACTTGTTTTGATTTGTCTCCCTTGGGGTTAACTGAATTCTTCCTTTTGGGCTCCTTTCTTTAAAATAATATAGTGGTGAACTTCACTGTAGTACAGTTAACGGTGACTTTGGATAATTGAGTTGATCTTTGCTTTAGCTGGATGTACAAGGTGGAGTAGCCTGTGGCTGCAGGAAGACGGCTCTGTCTGCTTCCACAGTCTGCTTAGAAAACGGTCTGGCTTCGTGAAACTAGAGACCCAGTTTACCACTACCGATGAAGAGACCAATTAAAATCCATTCCTCATTCTGTTTCTATACCATGGGAGAATCCTCATGGAATAAACTGAAACTGATTCCATGCCTGTGTTGGTTTGTCCCATGTGCAGAGCTTAGCCATTAGTAGGAAACATTGCTTGTTCTCCGGCATGGGGACTTGGACCGGCTTAGAGCGTGTGTCCCCTTGTACTTGGACTTAAGGGAGTAGGTCCTTAAGGCTTCGTAATAGCATGCTTCCAGAAGCTTGGAGTTAGGTTTTTTAGCTTACTTTTAATTTCAGGTTTTCAGCTGACTGAAACTAAAGTACATAAGAGGTTAAGACTCCTGTCTGACCTTCACTCCAAGACCAGCCAAATAAAGGACAAAGTCTTCCTGTATTTAGTCCAGATTCACTAGAAAATAATCCTATCCTACTAATTATTCAAGACCAGAACAAGCCTTTAAAGGTAAGCCTCAGGATTCTCATTTTACGGTCTCGTTGGCTGCTTTTGTCCCCATAGGTTTGGCTGAGGAGCAGGTGACTACGCTGGCGTCTGACTTCCCCTAGATATTTTCCGGAAGAGTACAAGGGCTGTGGGTGAGAGCAGACGTGTGGAGATGCTAGATGGTCTTAGGTCAACAGAGATTTTGTAATTCCTTGGAAAGTGTCTTAGAATCATTGTCCCTCTTAATAGTTAGAAATTTAGAGTAGTTGAAATCTGTAAGAATGAACCTCTGAGGGCCAAAAATGTGACATATTTGGGAACAACTCTTAAACTCTGATTATAACTAGCTGTAATATAGTTCTGTGAATTTATTGCACTGATGCCGTAAAACCTAGACCTTGTGGTATATTTGTCTCTTAAGTACTTTTCCTTCCCTTCACTATTGCTGTAAACAGTGGCCCCCATGTGGCAGATGTTTGATTTTTTTTAATGTTTCATATGAAAACCACAAACTACCTTAATTTACATGTGTTTCCTTATTGTAAATAAGCCTGTCTGATCTGGATTTTTGTGTGTACACATGTTCTACCAATTTAACTACTTTTATGGTTTTAATCCTGTATTTCTTCTACTTTGTTTTGTGAAAAGGGGAAAAAAATTAAAAGCTGGAATCCCTTTTTGTGTCCTGCTTTCTTTCTACCTTAGCCAGTACAGTATTTACAGGAATGGATTTACGGATCCGATTAATGAACTACCCTTTGTGATGGGTACATGCCTATAAGGTACTCCTTAAGAACAAAATGAAATAAAAGGTTTAAGAGTATTTATTCAGCAAACATCCAGGCACCACACTAGATGGAAACGGAAACACACACACACACACACACACACACACACACAAAGAAAAAGAAAAAGAAAAAGAAACGGAAATAACAGTGAATAAGTGATAGCTGAAGGTGATGTGTGAGGGGGCTAAGCGGGGACCACAGGCAGGGAACCCTGCAGACTCAAGGGAGAGGGACTGCTAGGGCATCTCTGTACCCCGGCGTACATGAGGTGCTGAGCAAGTAATTGGGGGGGTGACTTGTCTGTACCTGAAACATTTTTAAAATTAAGCTCAAATTGGATGTTTTTATCATTGGGCCTCACTGTCTATACTTAGTGGGTCCTGGGGACAGATTCAAATTTCAATTATGAGCCCCCTCCTACCCCCCAAAAATATATAGATCCTTCCTTGGAGCCTCTTGGGGGTTTGGTGATGTCCAGAAAAGGGAAGTCTCAACCCAAAGTTACTGTAGGTCACCCATGGTTGCCTGATATTTTGAAATGCTGGCCATATACCATGGAGCTGTGATTACTTCTCAGACCAGTCTGATTGGCTGGCTTCCTGCCCAGGCCAGCCTGGCTACCCTTGTGCCAGCTCTGGCCACAGCAAAAGTCCCTTTTTGACACTTGTCTTGGCCTCACCTCCAGCGGCGGTCCTACCATCCCAGAGTTCATGGGCTGTTGAGAGGAAGACATGTGGAGTTAGTGGGCCAAGAAGAGTGAAGAAGGGATTGGGGAATTTTTAGGAGAGGTGATTGAACGCCAGCAGCTCATCTGCCATCTTTTACCATTCAGATCATGATCAGCCAGCCCTATTTGAAGCCCTCAGCAGCTTCCAGTGTGTCCACAGCGTAAGCCACACACACTTGAGTCAATTTAGACGTGGCCCTGTGCTCCATTCTCCTGTACCCCACTTCCCACTCCCACCCAGCCATTCGGAGATTACCCATCGTTAGTCCATGCCCTCCTAGCTCTGTTAGAAGTCTAGAATATCTGCTGCCCCACACAGCCTTCCTCACATTTTGGCATCAGGCAGACCTAGATCCAAACCCCACCAATAATCAGTAGCTTAGCCAATGACCACTTTTTTTTCCTCTGCCTTGTAAAACGTTAGCAAAAATGTTAAGATTGGGTCAATTTAAGATTGAAATTCGTTTTCTCACTTTTGAAATGGGGTAATAGGGGCATTACATAATCGCACTGTTTTGCCAATTCAGTGAGTTAATCTGCAGGAAGCACTTAGTGATAGTCATGAATTGCTAGTTAGTTCCCTTCATGATAAGGATCAAATGGCACTTCCTCCATGAAAGCTTTGGCAACATCCCAGGCCCCCTCTGCATTCCCACAGCACTGAGATTGGCATCCTATAGGGCACATTGCCTGGAAGTGTGGTGTTACTTACAGGTCTGTCTCCCGTACTGGAATCAGTACCTCTTAAGGCCAGGACCACATTTCTGTCCTCACCACAGGGCACACCTGGCACACGATATTTTGAGTTTGTTCAACGGATGAACGAATAAAGTGTATAAAGAGTGGATGGTGCTGGTTTTCTATTTATGGTACAGCTCTTGAAGGAAAGTGGGTTTATTCCCTTATATCCCCACTGTTGCCAAGGCCCTCAATTAAGGTGAACTCCACATTTTTAGCAAAACGTAAGTATAGGGGAACCAATTCTTCAAGGACATTTTCATTTAAAAAACAAATGGTCCTGTAATGTATACTGAACCAGAGAATTTTGTATCCCTGAGATGTTCAAATTGGGAGCTTTGCTTTCCTGGGGTTCACTTGGGGGGGGGGGTCGATAGGCAGAGGCTTTATACTAATAATGTTGATGAGCACTCACTCTGCTGGATTTTGTGTGAATCTCTGGTTTATTTCATTTATCATTACAGCAAATTCAAGTGATTGGTAGTGTCATCCCCATTTTACAGATGGGGAAACTGATCTGCCCATTCATTTATTCATCAAATATGTGTTAAGGGCCTACTATGTGCTAGATAGCTTCTCTAGAAGCTGTGAGTACAGTGGTGAACAAAACTTAGCCCCTGTTTGGTTAGAGCGCAGGCTCAACACCAAGGTTGCCAGTTCGATCCCCACATGGGCCAAATGAGTTGCGCCCTCCATAACTAGATTGAAACAACTACTTGACTTGGAGCTGATGGGTCCTGGGAAAACACACTTTCCCAATAAAAAAAAGAAAAAAAAATTTTCTCAACAAAACAAAACTTAGTCCCTGCTTGCCTGCTTGCTTGGGGACAGAAAATAAATACACTTCCAATGTTTCAGGTGGAGAAAAATTCAGCAGGGTCCTGGGGTTGGGAGGATGGGGAGGAGGCCGTTATATGTGTGTGTGAGTGAACAGAGAGCCGAGGAACACCAGAGGACAAGCCACCTGGCTAACTGGAGGAGCATGTTCACATTACAGGGAAAAGCAGTGCAAAGGCCCTGGGGTGGAATATGCTTGGAGTGTTTGAAGAAAAGCAAGCCAGGGGAGGAGGATGGGGGATGAGGTCTGGTGTGTTGTGCAAGGAGGCAGGTGTGCCCATCAGGGGGCACCTGGTGAACTTGGTAAGGAATTTGGATTTGATCGTGGGTGATGGGAGCCCCTGGAGAGTACATGATCTGACTGGTTTACATTTTTAAAGGTCTTTCTGGCTCCCATAAGAAAGGAGTGGTAGAAGGGAGGGTAGAGGTGGAAGCAGTGAGGTAAGGAGGCTGTTGCAAATATTTCAGATGTTCGGTGACTCACCTCAGGTCACGCAGCTCAAGAGAAGGCAGAATTCACTCCCTTGCAGGTGATAGGATACCCGGGCTTGAAGCAGCAGTTAACACTCCCTGCTCTTTCCGTTGTCAAAATATACTCGACAGACGTTGTGCAAGCCCTTGGTCACTGTGATCTCAGCTAACCCTCGAAATAACTTGTAAGAGAGGTGTTACCCCTGGTTTGTACCTGGGGGAAGTTCAGAGACGATAAGAGATTTATCTAAACTGGTGCTTGTCCGGGTGCAGAAGAGCAGATAAGAGCCACTGGCTCAGAATCTTGTGTTTATTTTAGAAACATTTGTGGCTTTCGTCCAGACTTTCCCAGAACGCGAAAGAAACGTCTGGAGCCCCAGTAAATTGCTAAGATTTAGGGACAGTCAAAAGGAACCACCAGCGGTTAAAAAAAAAAATGCTTTCAAAACGTAATATATAAACACATTTTAAATAACAAAACAAAATTATATAGGGAGAAAAAGGAAGCTTACCGAGTTCTGTGGGTCCCTCCAGAGATACTATACATACGCAAGTATCACATTTTATTCTAAATGAACAGTCATTGCAATAAAAATTAGCAAATATCTAGGCCCTCGTTGTCATTGTTTTTACTTGGACAGATTAAGCACTAGAAGGGACACGGTCAACCCTCCGACAAACGCTTCCCCTCTCCTCTCCCCGTGGAGGGGCCGCGGAAGGTCGATTCCATCGACTCTCTGTTGCCCACCCTGAAGAGCCTCCGTCCCTCCCTCTAGCCGCCCGCTCCCACAAGGCAGTCCTGCTTTGGCGCGGCTGTGAAAGTCTCGCGATAGCCTGCCCGCTTCCCATAACTCCGTGCGCTCGCCCCTCCCGTCCTCTTTCCGCCATCTTTCCGTGCGGGTGAGTAGCTCTCCCTGAGGCGCGCCGCACCATCCGTCGGCTATCGGCGCCATCCTGCAGTCCGAGA